GTTTCTGTCTAACCAGTTTTCATATGGGTTATTGTGGTAATCTGTGATGCAAACTTCTATTTCCAAATAATATTGTATGTGTGTTCCAGTAAAATTAAGCGGGCTAAGAACGTGCGCATTTCCGCGGGCAAGCGATACCATTTTACTTATTTGTCGAACGTTTGTCGAACGAAAATGGCATTCTTAATAGCTGATTGTTTTGTCAATATCCACGCTTGGGTGTGATGTAGTTTCTCATACGCCCCGAGAGTGCCTAATGTCAGGCTTACACTTTGCATACAAACTCTATCGTGCACGACTTTCATCCTTTTGCAGTTAACTTCACGCATTTCAAATTGCTGCGGTCCGTTGGTAAAGGTGCTTTTGGTAAAGTATGCATCGTGCTAAAGCGGGATACGAAGCAATTGTACGCTATGAAATATATGAACAAGGATAAATGTATCCAGGTACTTCCTTCCTTGTTGTGTAAATGGTTGCAGGTGTCCTGTCGGTTGCAAATTGATTTCAGTTATTGCCCGTCGCTATTTAAAATTCATATCTACATGCGGAGAGTGTCCAATTATGCACAGTGCATCTGTAGTCAATTTTTTTTTTGCTATAGGTTATGGCCACCATCTTGAGGCGTATTTGTCTAAGGAAATGAAATATATCTATATTTGTATGACAAAATGAAGTGGAATTATATATATATGTGATTATAGTCATTTACGTTTCCGCTAGGACAAGTACACTATGGTATGCATTTAAGAATGGTCGTTTTGTCTATATACACGCGCGTTTCTATATACTGACATGTGTATGAATTCGGTTCGCTGATTCACGCTTTCCCAGTCTACACATATTTAAGCTGTATATGTATCTACTAGGATGTACATATGCATAATAATCTGTCTGGGGAATGTTTTTATAATCGTTTTCCTTTTATGTCACCAACCACGAAGATGATATCGTATTTCGATGGACTGTATGCAGTGTGATGTCCCTGACTTTGTTTTAGACCTAAAATGGCGTGTATCTGAGCGATGCTGTTACTAATCGTCACTATTTAGCCATTGGTTTCCTGCCTATAAAAAGTCCAAGTCGTCTGACAATGTTCAAACTTCCTTTCTTGCAGGAAAAAGCGGTGAAAAATGTGCTGAACGAAAGGAAAATATTAGAATTATTACATCATCCCCTATTGGTCAACATCTGGTTCTCATTCCAAGTATGTTGACAATATGTGTATTATGTCGCACTACCTCGCTTCGCACTACCTCACTTCGCACTACCTTGGTTTGCATACATGTCAATCGTGGTTCGATAGAAACCATCACACGCGTTGTATCTGTCGTTTGTTTGTGGTGGAATTCTAAAAAACACGTGGTTGTCTGTGTACCACCCCTCTCGAGACGGAATGGGGTTTCCCCCACAAGCTGGCGGTACCCCTTAGGGCTTATGTGAATCGAAGTCAGACGCGATGACTTTTTACAGCTCAGCTGAGTTTTGTGACTTGCTGTGTTCAGCGCATATTCCGTTCTGTTTCAAGTGACATGTCTGACATATTATCATTGGTGTTTTTTTCGCACGCCTTGTGTTGGTTGTACCAATCTAGTGCAAAACTGTGGCAATTAACATGACACTCCCACTCACTCGCCTGCGAATGGCTCGCCCACGAACAGGACGAAGAAGACATGTTCATGGTAGTGGATCTCATGCTGGGAGGGGACCTCCGATACCACTTACAAAACAACGGTCCCCTGTCGGAGACCCGAGTACGACTATATATGGCTGAGTTATCCAATGCCCTGTGCTACATCCATTCCAAGGGGGTGTTGCACCGCGATATCAAACCTGACAATATACTCATGGATGCCGAGGGCCATGTGGCGCTGGCCGATTTCAATGTGGCGACGTTCATCCCCACCAATGGAAGGTAAACAAGCCTACTTGTTTTATACACCTGTGGTTTTATAGCTGAGTCGCTTTCCAAGGCGAGAGGTGTTGGCCTGGTTGTCTTGATGCGTGAAGACTGGGGTTGGGGGTTGCGATGGGGTTTGCTGAGTTCTGAGTTGTGAGGGTGGTCGAGGGCTCCCGTGCAGTTTTACTGCAGGTCTATACCATGTGTTGTTTCAAGTGCAGCTCGCTACCATGTATTTCATGCTCTAGAGAATAAGGGAATATTTGGTATCTGTGCGTATCTCGTGGTGTGCGAGATGTGCGTTAAACGGATTTGGCAGTTTACTCTCCTTCGTACACAACATCACCGTGGCTAGAGCCTTTGATAGTATCATCGTGTGACCCTCCAGGTGTAGGCATGCACCCGCTGTCACTGGAATCTAGAAATCAGTACGTTATAATTGTCGACCCTATGCCCTTACCATTGAATACACAGATGGACTCATAACTTACACGCATACACACACATACACGCACACATACATACATATATATATACATACATACATTCATTCATTCATTCATTCATTCAGTATATATACATACATAAATACATACATACATTCATATCTATATATACATACATACATACATACATACATACATTCATATCTATATATACATACATACATACATATCTATATATACATACATAAATACATACATAGTCTACGATATCTCAGGGTACAAATATGCAATTGGTCTGATGTATGCATGCGTACAAGTCACCGCAAACAGATCTGGCCGCATGTACATGGGCGTGTGTTCTTCGTGCGAATGCTTAACCGTGAGCCCCAATCATCATTTCTACAAGAACGCCTGTGAAGTCGCTTGTTCACCTGCAATATGACATACGCGTTAGCCGATTGAATATACCTATCAGTGCACGGATCCAAAAGTGTGCCAGTACCGAACATCCACCAACACCCAACACATGGGACGCATGTGGCTTATCTCATACGCGAAGTAGTACTTTGTATGAATGCAATCACACACCTTGCCGCGTCTCGCCCGCCTGCACATGCACCATAGCCATATACTCATCAGGCAAACATATCCACTGAACGTTGCCACAGGCTCGTCTCCAGAGCGGGCACGCGCCCGTACATGTCGCCGGAGATGGTGAAGAAAGAAGGCTACGACACCGGCACAGACTGGTGGTCGCTAGGGGTGACCATGTACGAGTTTATAACCAACGAGTCGCCATTCAGGGGCCAGACCAGTGAGGAGGCCATGGATCTGATCTGCAACAAGCAGCTAGTATACCCCAAGTTCACGGATCCGAATATCAAGGATTTCCTGAAGGGGCTGTTAAATAGGAACCCGGCCATGAGGTTGGGGTCGCCTGGGCGTCTGAATGATCTCAAGGAGCACCCGTTCCTCACGGCTACTGGGGTCTTATTCGATGTAAGTGAAGTGACTGGACTCCGGAGGAATCCGTGGCAAATGTGATGGGAATGGGAAACAACGCACATTTGTAGAATGTTTAGTGTGTTTTATTTTGGATATTTGGGAGACTTCGCCTACAACACTAACATGCGCGTCTACTATAGTTAGCAATACTTCTCTGACGCATTATGCTTGGGGCTCATGACTCGATCCTCATTACATTTGGTAGTAGTAGAGCGGCAGCATGTAGTTCAGGGCAATTGTATTCGCTGACAATTCTAAAGTGTATGTAGGTGAGCGATATGCTAAGCTCGCGAGTACGGAATTATTGTTTTCGACCGCTACAAAGAGTCCTATTCTTCCAAAAGTTGGACTTACCTACACGCTTTGATACAAAAATCAGGACTTTTCGCAGAAAACGCTGAATCACGAGTTTATTCCGGACAAGCACAAAATCAACTGCGATGCCATGTACGAACTAGAAGAGGTAGGTGGGCTTGTTACCTTGAAACGGCTATCTTGTATGCAACGCAGCCACATAGGCATGGTATATATGTACGATAGCTTGTATACAACGCAGCTATATAGGCATGGTTTATATGTACGATAACTTGTATACAACGCAGTCATAAAGGCATGGTTTATATGTACGATAGCTTGTATACAATGCAGCCATAAAGGCATGGATTATATGTACGATGGCTTGTATACAACGCAGCCATAAGGGCATGGTTTATATGTACGATAGCTTGTATACAACGCAGCCATAAAGGCATGGTTTATATGTACGATAGCTTGTATACAACGCAGCCACATAGGCATGGTATATAAGTACGATAGCTTGTATACAACGCAGCCATATAGGCATGGTCTATATGTACGCTAACTTGTATTCAACGCAGTCATAAAGGCATGGTTTATATGTACGATAGCTTGTATACAACGCAGCCATACAGGCATGGTTTATATGTACGATAGCTTGTATACAACGCAGCCATAAAGGCATGGTTTATATGTACGATAGCTTTATACAACGCAGCCATAAAGGCGTGGTTTATATGTACACGTGTCTGTGTACAGTTAGGAGTATGCACATGTACGAATTATAAGAGGTAGGTGGGCTTGTTACCTTGAAACGGCAACGGCTATCTTGTATGCAACGCAGCCATATAGGCATGGTTTATATGTACACGTGTGTGTGTACAGTCAGGAGTATGCACATGTACTATACGCCCTTATTGCCTGTTAAGCGGAGCTTGTATGTTCGTGTTATATATTCGTGTATCTGGTAGGCAGATGTCATAGATGGTGCTTGTGGATACATATAACGAGCTCGGCGGCACTAGAGGGATGAACCTGCTGGCTTGCTAGTCAGCTAGGCAATTCAAGCCTTTATTTTATACCAAGTAGGGTTCGTAATCTTTCTGCTGGTTTTGCTAAACAGCTAAGCAATTCAAGCCTTTATTTTATACCAAGTAGGGTTAGTAGTCTTTCGAAAGTGTATCGTGAGCAAGATTGACTTCTGTGTAAATTTGCTTTTGTGCACATTTATGCACATATATTTTGATACATACATATTATATTTATGTACACAAAAAGTAAGTGAGATGGTTTTCAATAAATGTCAATATATATACATATATATATATATATATATATCTATTTATAGATCTAAAATAGTATACATATATATATGTATATATGTATATATAAATTCTTAAATCTATATATATGTATATATCTAAAAAAAGTGGTTGCGAGTATGTGTGTGAAATATAATCAGAAAGTAAAATACGGTTTGCTTTTCGCAATGATACATCTATTGCTTATACCTCTACTTCCTCCCCTTCTTACCTCCTTCTCGTCTGTCTGCGCACACTGCAGATGATCTTAGAGGAGAACCCTTTGCACAAGAAAAAACAGCGACTCAAAAAGAGCAAAAACTCCGTAGTCCAGAGCGACGAGTTCAATAAGCCCGTCCCTGGTAGCCCTGCCGACCAAAAACTTCAGCTCATGACGAGCTACACAGTGTTCAACCGAGAGAAGATGAATAAGTTAGACTCCATGCAAAACCTGTCCACCCAAGATCACGAGTAAGTGCTGCGTAGTCATGCGGATATGGATTTAGAGCCGTCGTGGGTCGTTCTGGTTGTGTGGCTGTGTGTTTCTTGTCCGTGTCCAGAAGGGCCAAGGTTTGTTAGGAAGCTATATCGTCTCTTGCACACAGGTGCTCACGCCAATTTCAACTCCATTTGTGTTTCGCGTAGAACCGAAGCTCGTACATCAGTCGAACTCATCAAGGAGGCAAGTTAGCTTCTGTGGAGTGTAGGGAAAGACGTGATTGCGAT